CCCTCTAGTCTTACACTGCTAAATTAGGGACGGCAAGTGCAGATAGCCCTCGATTAGCTTTGCACAAAATTTAAAACATACAAACAAACAAACTGGTTAGAATTATTGAGTATTAATTATCTTTAGATTAGTTATGAACAAACCAATTTTCAAAACAATCTTTCAAATTCCATACATGTGATGAAACTATTTCATAACAAGAAATAATGTTACCTTTTTTTTTTATTAACACTTAAAGATCCATTTATAGATAAAGATATTAATGCTGTAGCAAAAGTTGTTTGGTAGTTAACATTGTTAATTATCCCAACATCAAATTTATATTCTAAGGCCAGTCTTATTTTTATTAAAATTTATTTGTTTAAACACACAATAATTTTAAGAATAATATTTACTGTGCATTTCAAAACATTTTTCACTTTTAAAAATTCAAGTAACACATGTACATTTGTTTTCTTTAGATTGTACATTAAACCTCCAAACAACCTTCACACTCCATGAAAAGATTTTTTTAACGCATTGGTTATCTACAAGTTCCACATGTCTAAGCAGGTAGTTGGGCATAGGACTGTTTCCTTTGTTGTAATTGTGTGTTTTGAAAGTCCTAACTGCCGAACTAATTTCATTCGCATATACATAAAGATAGTATCTATTTTATAGCAGGAATTCAGTCCTTAAGTCTTAAAAGAAACTGAATTCTTAGTTGTGGTTTGTAAAATAATTTTTATGTCAGCCTGTGGATAATATTTTCTTAACTTTTTTTACTCCTTTTTTTTTAGAAGGTACTTGTTTGTCTGGCTCAATACCGTAGAATGAGGGTAAGCAGATAATATGGTATAAATAATAAAATTGGTGGTGTCATTTTTCTCACTATATTCCTTCAGTAGCACTTATTTTCCATTAATTAATTTGGATAATACATAATGTTACTGCACAACTGAAAAGCCCTGTGGATTATAATTTAAACTAATTTATTTTTTAAAATATAAACTGGGAAAAGTATTTTTGTAATAACAGCCAACTTAAAACCATTTACCTTTGTTTCAAATCTTAGTGTATGTCTAAACAATGGAGTTCTGAATTCACTTGCTCTTCTCTTGCAAATTTAATATATTAATGTTGTTGGTTGACAGTAATCCAAAAATATCTTAACGTGGGACTATTCTTTAAAACTATGAAAGTATCATCAGCATATTTTTGTAAATCATAGGTTTTTTGTATCTGGACAGTTCTTTAACCAGTTCTTTTTCACAAAGGAACAATATAGCCAAACCGGTGTTAGCTAATCTTGACCCCATGAACTTTATCATTAAGATTAATAAACTTGTGTAATATAAAATTTAAATCAAGTCACATAAATACCAATCACTCAAGTGATTTTGTTGTTTAATTTGTTTGAAATATATATCATAAATATTGTTTACATATACAAAATACACCAGAAATAATTGTACATATATTTAAACTTATTAAGATAACTCATTTACAATGAGAAATTCTGTATTAAATATTGAAACAAGTGTGTGTGAAGCTATAAAAATGGCTTTTTCTTAAAACTGCTAGTTTCTAACTATAATATTTAATACCTACCAATATTGGCATTTATATTGTATTAATTACACAATGGCTTTGTTTTTTATTTTACTGATATTTCTGGTGTATTTTTATAAGTTTGTGTAATATGTTTAATATTTGGTTTAAATGTTTCAAGAGTTGTAACCTTTTTTGATATTAAGTTCTTACCAGTTTCATAATTTTTACACCAACACTGGTTACAAAAGGTCCCCTGGTGGGACAGTGGTAAGTTTACATACTTGCAATGCTAAAATCCAGGGTTCAATTCCCTGCAGTGGATACAACAGATTGCCCAGTGTGGCTTTGCTCTAATACAAACAATAACTGGGTTACCAAAAGTTTTGATATAGAAAATACACTATCTGTTTCAAGTATTGAATAATATCTCTTGTTTATAAGCATAAGATATCCTATTATGTAGCTTTGTATTTAATAAATAATCAATTCTAGTAGCTTTAGTTTGAAATACATTTGATCTTGTTTTATAGGTATTTCCCCAGGGCTCACTATGATAAAAAAAAGAAGATATGTATGCAGTATAACATATGTGCATTTGTGTTGTATAATATTTAAACACATTTAAAGCCCAAAACTTTTAGCTATTTTTGTCAGAATAGTTTTATATGTTTATATTAATATATAATCAATATATACTAACAAAAATATATTATTATACTTAATCATTTTGCCATTTAGCTTAACAATGAAGTCTTTAAATATTGTTTTCCATCCAAACAAATAAGTGTTTTTGATACATTCAAAGTTCATGTATTCACATTAAACCACATACTAAGTTTAATGAGATTTGAATTATCTCATTTAATTCTCTTAAACTATGATTTGTATAAAAATATTTGTGCCATCTACAAAAATAATAAACTGTAATAATTTAGATTGTTTTTGTTGAATAATTCGTTATTATTAATATTGGCGAATTTATTACTAACAAGTAATGAAAGCATTAATGTACTTGTTATTTGACATTAGTGTTAGGCCTATTATAATTTTAACACTACGTGTTTAGTATCTTAGTGATTTTAAAGAATTAGAAGAGTGTATACAATGAACAAAACAAATAAGTTGTATCCATTGATGATGATGCTTTTGCTCAATTCAGAGCTCATCAGGCCTACTAGACACAAGTCCTAAACTGTTAGTCACCAGTGTCCCTAAACACTACATTTGTTTGTTTAAAGAGCTTAATTTCTTAACCTCCTCACAGATGAGTAACACGCACCTAATGAGGACATCGAGTTTACCTTTAAATAGAGTAGGGTCTGGTTTGTTTTAAAGAGCTATTAACTCCGTTGAAAGGGAAGTTTTAAACTAGGACTAGGCAGTGGTAATCATCAGGATAAACTAAATGTGAAAAAATACGATGTAGAGAATATATTAGCATAGGACATGAGTGTAGAAGTAGTGCTAAGAATAGGCTTTTTTGTAATGCTAGAAGTATAAGAAATGTAATAAATGACTTGGAATGGGGGATTTTGATATAATGTGAATAACTGAAACATGGTTAAATACAGATAATTTTGATGACAGAAATTTCTTTGAAATACAGGGTTTATAGGCTATTTAATAGGAATAGAGTATTAACGAGAGGGAGAGGGGTGGCTTTGTATGTAAAATGTGAGTTGAAGTTGAGATATCAAAGGTAATAGCAAGGAGATTGAATCCATTTGGGTTTCAATTAGCAGATGTAAAGGGAAAAGGCTTTTAGTGGGAGTTTGTTACAGACCACCAGATGATACTGATGAAATTAGTGAAAAACTTTACAGTGAGATTAAGATTTTAGTTGTTTATGAGGTCATATTTATGGGATTTTAAGAGTTGGCGGTGCGTGGAAATGACTAGCTGCCTTCCCTTTAGTCTTACACTGCTAAATTAGGGACGGCTAGCGCAGATAGTCCTCATGTTGCTTTGCGCGAATTTCAAAACAAATATGTCTGTATTGGGTCAACGACTCGAACCTTAGCTACCAGAATAAAGAAGCATCCACATAACAGCTCTTTCAATAATTCTGGAATCTACAACCACCTAAGCAAAGACTGTAGCGAAAAACCGAACAGTGAACACTTCAGAATAATAGACTCGGGGAAAGATGAATGGACGCTAAGGAAAAAGGAAGCACTCCTAATTCGTAACCTACAACCTAAGCTGTACAATCAACTAGCTACGTCACTGCATCTTAAACTATGGTCAACTCATTGTGCCTGAGATTGGCAAAAAGTGAAAACTTCAGCCAATAAACAAGTGTCAATATCTACAGAAATTTAAAAAAAATCTAGCTGTGAAGAGGATTCTGCTTCTTTACAAAAGGATGTAGATGAGTTGGACAAATAAATGGTAAATAAGTTGTAATTATATTAAATGCAAGATAATGCATGTGAGTTATCATAATTTGAATTATAAGTATAATTTGGATGGGAATTGTTTGTTTGAAGTTAAGCACAAAGCTACACAATGGGCTATCTATGCTCTGCCCACCCTGAGTATCAAAACCCAGTTTCTAGCCATGTAAGTCCCCAGACATACTGCTGTGCCACTGGGGAGCGTGGATGTGAATAACCTTAAAACTGTCATGAAAGAAATGGATCTAGGTGTAATGGTTGATCAGTCTCTTACGCCATCCAAGCAGTGTGCTATTGCTAGTGATAGGGAAGATAGGATTTTCGGTTGTATCTTCAGAAATATTGAATACAAGTCTAAAGAGGTTATAATTTCATTGTATAGGTTATTGTTTAGGTCACATTTGGAGTATTGTGTTCAGTCCTGGGCTCCTTACCTTAGGAAGGACATTGAATTGTTGGGAAGGGTTCAGAGAACGATTACTAGAATGTTGTCTGGGATGGAGTGGTTGTCATATTAGGAGAGATTAAGATCTCTGAAACTGTTTTCTTTAGTTGGACAGGGCGTGATTGAGGTGTTTAAGATTGTAAAGGGAACTGATAGTGTTGATGAATTATCTTTTTTCCATACTTAACGGAGAGAATAGTAGGACTAGGAGACACAAATCTAAAT